TGCCAGGCCTGCCCGGCTTTTGGGCACCCCTGCAGACAGTGTCTCAGCTTTTCCTTCGTTCCCCTTCATGCATACCACACAGCGATCTCTTGTCTGGGGGCTCTGCTTTCCTTACTCCTGCGCGCTCGCTCAGCCAAACGGTTACTGGTAAAGCCAGGCAGTCGTAAATTAGCCATTGCGTGCTTCTTACCCATCGTAAGTGTTCAGTTGCGACCACGGGAATTCCTGTAGCTGTGTGGAATTCCTATCCCCAGCTGTTCCTCCCATCTCTTCGGTAAGGGTGCCTCGGGCGGGCAAATGATCGCTTTCCAAGTTTGCATCCCAGTTTGTTGGGTAATGAAGTATGTTACTATGTTTGGCATTGTTTGTTCGTGGTGATACCCGTAGTCCCTCCCTCGCTGCAGGGTCCAGGCCAATCGGTAGATCCTCTATCGCCATCTTGGGGCAGTAGATGGTGTAGTCCTCCATTTCTACTACCTCTATCACCATCGTGGGGCAGTAGATGGTGTAGTCCTCCATTTCTACTACCTCTATCGCCATCGTGGGGCAGGAGATGGTGTAGTCCTCCATTTCTACTACCCTCAGTCCCTCGCTTTCAGGACCCGATCTTCCCTTATTGAGACTTCCATTCTTGATTCCTGACAATGCTTGCTGGTGGTGGTTCCTGGCTCCCTGTGTTTCATACACCAGTATCCGCAGCCATTCCTTTGCAGAGCCCTCCCTCTGTTGCACCTAAAAGACCTCTGCTGTTGTGTCTTCTCTCCAAGTGACCCAATCTTATTATCTCCATATTCCCACTGATGGCCCTCCTCTAGCAAGAGCTTCCATTCTGCTGGGATAGATATCAGTACATCATTCAATCTCTGCACTAAGCCTTCCGTCTTCCCCTCCACACAACGTACCCTCATTTTGGCTGCATCGGACCGGAAAAATGGCTTGTATACGTTCATTATCAGGGCGCGTTGTGTTTTGGTTTTCCTTTATTACCTTCTTCACCCGAATATAATGCCCGGTCATTATAGCCGTATTTGGAGCCATTTTCTGTCCAGATGCAGCGATAATGACCAGGCGTTCTATTCGTGTGAAGACGGTAGGTCCCCTCTTAGTCCCCGTGCTGTTTGCCATCCACACAGGCTGGCTGTTCTTGTGACCATCGGATAGGTGCCTTACGTGCCATATGCCGTGCTCTCGGCCTATCCCTCTCGCATCCTTCACCCATTGGTTGCAAAATAATGGTTGAAGTAAGGCCACCTTCCTTGTTTTTGGCTCCTTGTCTTTAGGTGGAAATGTTTTGCCGGTTTAGTTAACTTTGCGCTGCCATTTTGACCCCATTTGTCTGTGTTCTGTTTCTTTCCTCAGATGTCTGTCTGTTCTTGGTTGTGTCTGGCCTGGGACTGTCTCGTTTTTTATTTCAGATGTCCGAACAAGTGGTTGTCAACTTGTCACTGCTCAGACCAGTGGAGTTTGGTTCCGATGCGTTTGGCTGTTTTGAGAGCCAGGAGATTTATGTCCATATATTTGGTTGCGCCTTTGGTTCGGCTGGTATCGACTGGTCCAGCCGTTGTCTTTTTTGGGCCAGCACCGGCTGCATCAGCAGGATGCCCTGGGTGGCCGGTAAGGACCGAGGCTGGTTGTTCTTAGGCCCAGGTGCTAGACCAGGACTTGGGTATGTATCTACGAGACCAGGACTTGGGTATGTATCTAGGAGTCTAGGACCATAGTACGTGCAGACCGGTGGGACCTCTGGTAGGCCCAGCGCTGGACACTAGGGACACAGTGTCAGAGATTTTGGTTTCGCACCAGGCTAGTGGAGAGCAGCGCATCAGAGTTTGCACTAGTGTGTAGCAGAACTTTTTTTTTTTTTTTTTTTTTTTTTTTTTTTTTTTTTTCGAACAGCGTCCCTACCAGTGTTAGTGGTGAGTGTGTAGCAGAGCTAGTAGGAGGTACTGGCGAAAGTGGACGTCTACAGCAGCATCTGTCTCTTATACACATCTAGATGTGTATAAGAGAC